CACTTAATCTCCTGCTTCCGTGCCAATGCTGCTCTGTATGTGGTACATCCATTGCTACTTCCGCTGAGCAGAACTGCAACCATTGTCTAGTGCAACCTTCACACAAGGCATTACTTCTGTTGTTTGTCTACACTGTTATATGATATATTATCGATTAATTTACTCCCATATAACCAGATGTTACCGTTTGCGCTAATTGGCCCTACACTGTTGACGATGTATACGATTATCGTCTTGTTTTGAAAACATTGTTAGGTGGAGTTACTGTACTTAAAAGCTAAAGGCAAAGTTGTCCCATGTATGCCACAATGGTGACAAAATAGTTGGAAAACAAACAATCTCTCATTGGAGAAGCCATGCACGGCTCTAGAGACATCTTTTTTGTAGGGGGGGGGCTAGACCCTTTGCACGTGACATCACGTTTTAACTTTTGCCACTGCTCTTTTCACTTGGGGAGCAAAAAGAAATCAAAATCAGATTTATATTACACATAATGACCCTACAAATGACCACTGACATTAGTTTAATTTAAACAAAATAAACTGCAGATTTTTGTTTTCATTTGGAAGGAGGGGCTAAACAAAAGTTGTTTTTTTTCTTTTCAAGGGAGGATTAAAGCCCCCTAGCGCCCCTGTAGAACCACGCCTCTACACATTAGTCGCACGCTAAATGTAAACAGTCTGTATTAAATTTTATAGTTGAAAGAAACCAATATAGGCCTAAGTGGTAGCCTTGATCATTCAACGATTGTCTTCCTTGTTTTAATTTACAGATGACACTCCGAGGAATACAAACCAGTGAGTACAATAAACTAAATCTCAACTTACGCTTTCCTGATTTCACAATGCTCAAGGGCAAAAGTATAAAAGCAAAATAAAAGTATGCATGTAATGGGACCAGTGTTCATTTATGTTTAAACTGTTCTTTGTGTTTGCACTGGGGTAGCGCTTTCAGTCTTACTAACAATTCCATTTTCAGTGACAGCAGTTTGAAAGAACAAAACGTCGGCGCTTTCACTTTTTGATAGTGACAATTGTATAGATACTAGAAGCAGTTAATTTCTGATAACGTGAGTGATCCCTTGCGTGCGGATAATACATGAAATAATAGGCCTAGTGACATACACTTGGAAACCCAGGCTGTAAAATATTGGATTAAAGGTATTACGCGTCTTTTCAGTTAAAACTACAAAATCAATAAGTATAATACACAACAATAACCACGGTTGGTATTGACTATTCAAACGTTTTGCATAAATACGGCTCTTAATCTTAATGAAAACGGCTGCTGATCGATGTGAAGTATATGAACATCACTATAGTACCTAACAGAATTTAACAGAATTTCGACTTTAGAATAATTAAGAGTTTTCGAGTTTTCACAATGTTTAAAGAGACCTGGTCAATAAAAAGCCTATTTTTTCACGCATAGCAATGTTCTGAGAAAAAGATCTAGAGAGAAAAAGAACACCGTTTGGGAAGCAGAATTAAAGTAAAACAAAATCCAATGAAAGTTCCTCCTTTTGTGCATGCCATTTCAGGTCTGTTGCCTTGCGAATCAGACGGACCAGCACCAACAGTCTCTTTGCCCCAGTGAGTTCAGCCTATTATCAAACAACCACTGGATCACTAGGTAAATGTGTAATTTTCCTGTTTGTAGAAGATGCTTGTGTAAACACACAGTATTACGGAACATGCAGTTTTAAACCAATGGCAGCAGTGGGGTATCATGGTCCTCAAAGTTTTTGTTTGAGAGTGAACGTTTAGTCATTTTGGAGATGTTAATTTCTTCCTGCTTTCTCAAATCAGATCGCAGGGTTGTGGAAAATTCAGCTGACCGTTGGGAACACGACAACGATGCACCCACTACTAGCAGTCAGCTGCCTGCTACAGTAAGCTCATGGCATTGATCAAATTCTGATATAAGTATAAACTGAAACTGGTGCTTCCCTTTTAGTTTCAAAAACTCATCCCTGGAATTTCTTCAGTCCTACCGTTTACGCTCATATGATTTAAAGGCCAATGTGGTTTGTCGTGGTATTATTAATTGTTTTGGAATAAAAGTAGCGATGTCACAAGAGAGTCTTGAGATTGTTCAAGACAATATCCAGACTGCGCCATGGTTTGTCTTAAGCATTGGTATCGCGCTTTTCGTGGAGTGACGAATCCTCTGATCATTTCTAAATGTTGCACTTTCAGGAAATGCTTTTTGATCCTGATGTCCAAGACAACAGGCCACACCCACCTGTAGCCCAGCCCATTCGCTACCAGTCTCCTGTCCATTACGAAGACATCGATCAGTACCTCGTACCATCGCACTCCATTCATATTAGAGAGTATTCCACCTATCTGGGGGAGGATCGGCAGAAGATCAACGGGCCAGATTGAGAGGGCGAGAAGTGGAATACTCTCGCTCAACCATTCCGTGCTTAAATGCATCCTTCTCCGTCACGGAAATGGCAGATTTAACTCCAGTTTGGTCCTTTGCACACGTAAACGATGCGCATAACGTACTGTGCAAGCGAAACACCCAAATGTAATTAAGGACTACGGATATGAAACTTTAGTGTGCGTAAGCTTCTAAATAGGCAGAGATTGCATGTATGAAGTAATTGAGACAATGAAAAAAGTCAAGTCCGTTCCAACAGTCAATCATGCAAAGAAATTTAGATTATTTGGAGATGGCAAAATTAAACTGAGTATGTAAACTATCCGTTGGCTTTTTGAACCAGAAAATGTTCAAATAAAGACATTTGTAATTGCATCATTCAATTTGTGATTATTAAAAGAATTTAATACATAGAAATATACAAAGCGCACGATCAAGAATGACTTTTTGCCCAGCAAATAGCTTTTATGTCAGTAGATCTTTCCGTCTGTATATTCTTCACAGTGTATTGTATATTAACTCGGGATGTACTGTCCATCTATTAGTCGCAACGATGAGGAGAAACAGAAATGTAATTGATTTGTTGCAATGTACAAGATCGTAATTCGGTGTTTATGAAGCTAGCGTATTGTAATTTATTGCTAAAATATTGAATGCACTTCCAAGACGTATTTGGCAGAACATGTTTTAAAAAGATTTTGAAGCCCCCTTCCAATTCTGAGCTGTAAAATTGAATAAAATAAAATTGAGCCGTCGGTTGAAGCTGAACACACATGCACCAAACAGTTTAATTGTTAGTAATTGGCTTCAGTTTCTAGAACCAGTTACTTTCCATCTATGTTTATTGGAGTAAGACCTTACTTGTCTCACAAACATAACACGAAATGAGGTTTTCAAATAAATTAACCTGGCTATTTTTTTGAATGTGCTGAGAGCTCCAGGATGAAAAGTTTCATAATCTGCACTACAACGTTGGTACAAGACTTGAATCGAGTCGGACTTGTGGTGTATTTCCCCAGTCGGCCATCCCTTCACATAACATTGGCTGCTCGCATAGTTTCTTATAAGGCGCCCTCATTTGATAGTTTTTTGTTTGATACGTCTATTGGTCACAATAATAAAGACTACGTCTAACCTGTTGGTGGGTCAGGCTTGAAGGATATATCCAGTCAGACCCTCGTCAGTGATATGTAGTTATTCATAATTGTATATGAACGACATGATCTTGCATAATGCATACGAAATTTCAACCAAACAAAGTAGTCGGACTTGTAGACTCGTTCATTATAACAGAAGTATGGCAGGTGTAAAAAACGTCCGGCAATCTGGTTGGCTGCTACCTGTTTTGGTAGATGAGGCGATTTGCAGTGTGGAAAACAGCCGGCAGATTCGTCAAGTTGGGATTTCTGAACACACAGTAACAAGAGGACACAAGAGGGTGCGAAGCAAGTAACGGCGGACGATGTTGGTACATGAGGAAATTCCCAAATGCAATGTTTCCTCCTTTGACAACAAACCCTTTTTGACATGAAGTGTAATAGAGGTATAATGCTGGCACCACTTTTGGAACTGTATAAAATGCCCTGTGTTCTGGCAGCAAATCAAGACCTGAGACGTCAGGTAAAGGAATAAGTTGAAAACTTAAAGCACACCTTTAAATTGTAGACTCAAACGACCAAGAAGGTCAATTGCAGAGATTTTAAAATAACTACCGATCAAGAGCATTGAATATATGGTTGTGGAAAAGTATTTAGTCTTCAGGATTGTTGAATCCTTGCAAGGTTAATGGAAAGAGCCAGGGGCATCTCGCTGTCTTTGAATAATAATTGGCCTGTATGGCCGAATGCAGTCCAGGAGTAACTGAGATACATGATTTGTCAATCCACTGAGGCCGAGGCTAAACCGCTGATACTGTCCTTTGTCAATGGAGTTGGTTAGGAGACACATTGTTCGGGTTTTAATCAATACACAGTATTAATTCCTTACCTTACGGATTGTCAAGTCAGAGTAAAATAATCCTGCAGAAATCTGCGGCGCCAGATGAACAGTTAACTAGCAGAATTCCTTTACCGCTTGTCTGTGTAAATGGGTCGTAGGCTTATATGTTATGGTCAATGTATGCAAATAACAACTTGTTTGGGAAACATTCCTTAATTGTTTATTACTGCATGTCCAAACTCTTTTCAGTCCCATGTATGTCATAATAATTGCAAAACGGGTAGAAAGAAATCAGACGATTTCTAATCGGAGGGCTTTTGAGTCACGTGTAGAATTTAAGCAGTCCATTGTGGATTTCATAGTTGACAGAGTCCAACACAACTAGTGGCCTTGGATAAAAAGTGGCTTCCTGGTTTGAATTTGCAGACCACATTCACAGAAACACAAAGGGGTAAGTGAAATAAACCAACTTTCAACTCTGGCTTGCCTGCTTTTCCAGTGCTCCAGGGCAAGGTATATAAACGGATTCTATGTATATTAGGAGCGGTTTCTATTTACGTCACAGCTGTTTGTTGTGTTTGGAAAGCAGTTTTATACTAACAAATCCTTCCAACTTTCACTTTTTATTCACGTCATAAGGTTTACACAAAGAAATAGTGAAGTTTTCTTTCGTTACTATTAACGATTCATGGTTAGGGAACAATACATGAATTAATAGCTACTCGACATTCCAACCCAATCTATAAAATCATATTCGTTGTCCATTACCCAAGCCCCAAAAATGCACCTCATCTTGATGGACAAATTCTAGTCATGATTTTTGACTTGCTGGACATCTGTAGTTGAAATTTGGATATGACAACTATATTGGAGACTGGTAGCTTTGTGGTTATTATTTAGTATTGAATATGTTGACAAACAAGGTAATATACGTATGCTCGACTAGTGTTGCAAATAAGCAATACCAAGTCACAAAATCTGTTGCCTGTAATTATCAAAACGTTATGCCTCAATAAAGCTCTGAAGTTTCGGAAAATTAATAAAATGGGTAGAATTTTCAAACGTTTAACGTTAAATTGGTTTGGGGTTTTCGGTCACAATATTCAGGAGAGCTGATTATTAAACAATAATTTAAAAACCCTTATTTTTATACGCCCTAAAATTTTCTGCGGAAATGGCAGAGAGAAAAAAATAACTCCAAATTTTGAATGGGAATTAATGAGGAATGAAAAATAATGGAATTGAAAGTTGCTTGTCCAGCCTTTGTTGGTTTGCATGGAACTTTACGAATTCGACACACGTTTCAATACTTGTTTGTCGACGAGAGCGCTATTGAGAATTCAACATACTCAAAAACACCATATAGCCAGAGATCATGCCCTGCAGCCCCCGAGCTTAACCAAAAGAGGTCGCTTTTTTCAGTTCAGTTTTGTTTTTTTACAAAAACATAGATGAGCAGACAGAATTATTGAACATATTGCCTCGTGTATAGATTGAGGTCTCCAAGAAGCAAGACCTTGTCGAACGGAACCCCAGTGGGAAAATAACAAATAACCGTTATAATTATCAAACCAGTCAACCAAAGAATGTCAAAAGGACAACATAAATGTGGTACAGACTTACTAATATAACAAAACCTAATTTTTAGAATTAATTTTACACTTTTACCATTCTCCCTGCATATACTTTTGAATTAATTGTGTTTTAAATTTGCGTTTGAACATGTCAAATATATTCTTGAGACAGAGACTGAGAGAAATCCAAAGGTTGGATTCAAAGTGGGAAATGCATTTTGCTGGTTCAGAAACGACTGTGAAACACACGCGTTACGGTCGCTTTGCTGTCGACAAAATGAACCCTCTCAACAAACCTGGCTTTTTTTATCCCGTGAAATGTGCTTCTGCTCACTCTGCACACTCTCAATGCAACTGTGGTGAAAGGC